GTACATGATCTATTTCTAGTAGGCGCATGGATATACCAACGATTGCTTTTTAGGACAAACCAGTCCTACAGTATAATTCAAACATTTCATTATGATTGGTTGCCGCATTAAATTTAAATTGTGGATACTGAACTTCAGTGGCCCACAGTAAAAAAAGGTATAGTTGCCCCCTATATTTGCTTCCCTTCTCCGTGATTGTATATTTTCATTCTAGATATTGCGAGATTTTACTAAAATCCGATTGGCTTGCAGATGCATTACGCATTACTGGGAAAAACGCTGCTGCACAAAGTTTAGGTGAATTACCTTGACATCTGGCCGCAACCAACAGCAGACATGCTTTACTATCATGTCTCTTGCGCATCGGCATCACGCTGCGTCTGCGCCTCTCAATGGTATGCCACCTTTCCCAGATTATTTTACCTTCTGATGCCTGTTTCTTGATCTCTTTCCCACCTTAAAGTAGTTTTCCTAGCCCTATCAAAAATCTCTATAATCAGATCTGAAGTTTATGTCTCTCTATATACTCTCTCTCTCTCTTCCTTTCTCTCTCTCTCTCTCCTCTCTCTCTCTCTCTCTCTCTCTCTCTCGTCTCGCTACTCTTCTCTCTTCTCTCTTGCTCTCCCTCTCTCTCTCTCTCTCTCTCTCCTCTCTCCTCTCTCTCTCTCTCTCTCTGTCTCTTTTTTCTCCTCTTCTCTCTCTCCGTTTCTCTTTTCTTCTCTCTCTCTCTCTCTCTCTCTCTCTCTCTTCTATTCTCCTCTCTCTCTCATCTCTCTCTCTTTTTTCTCTCTCTCTCTCTCTTCTTCTCTCTCTCTCTCTCTCTCTCTCTCTCTCTCTCTCTCTCTCTCTCTCTCAGTGTTCCTAAAGGTATAGGTTCTTCTCTCCGTAGCTTGCTCTAGATCTGATCTTTCCATTACGTAGGGTCCTCTGGCAGAGTATAGATTCTTGTTTGTGCGCCTTCCAGATGAGAAGTACGTTTGCGTTGTTGTATTATTTTGATAAATTATGTGCAAAATGAAGGAACGGTAGTAAGTATCTACATATCAGATAAAACCAGCGCAGATTTACATATATCCACATATTATGCTACTGTGCGTGAAGTCTGACGGGGTAATGTTGTGTGTTTTTGTTAGAACACATTCATGGCAGCGAGAGTTCTGCTGGCACTAGACCTTGTGCTGTTCTTCATGCGACTCCTGCACATCTTCCTTGTCCACAAAGAACTAGGACCAAAACTTGTGATGATTGCTAGAATGGTAATTAATTAATTAATCGCCTAACCAGCTATAAAGTAAACGTAACAAGGAGAATTGTTCTACTTTCTTGGACCATACGAAGCAGTGCATCGTTTGTGTTGTATATTTACATGTTGTGTGTTGCAGCACCATGCTAATTATGTTTTAGTCATCAATTACAGTACAAAAATCTCTAGTAAAACAATTTTTAATTACAAATTTATTACTATATACCCTGTGTAATTGATGAAGGTTTCTGGATTGGCTATAATAGCCATTTGACATGGTGTGTGTGTACTTCTCTTTCACATTACATGCAAGCAAATGTATCACAATTTTCAAAAAAGCACGAACAAAGACTGCTTCAAAATGTATGATATTAGGAGCGAGCATATGTGTTTCTCTTTCAGCTGAACGACCTCCTGTATTTCATCAGCATCATGGTCGTCTTTGTAATTGCCTACGGTGTCGCATCGATGGCCATACTCTTTCCAAACACGCCGTTCAGTGCCACGCTTGTCAAGGACATCCTATACAACGCCTACTTCCAGATGTACGGAGAACTGTTGCTAGAAAGTATCGAAGGTGATGGAAACTGTTGATCTTCCTCGAAACATGCACGTGCTAAAATGTTTCTGGATGTCACTATAGATGATCTATATCAGTACGTTGAGACGGGTTACTAGAAAGTATCGAAGGTGATGGAAACTGCTGATCTTCCTCGAAACATGCACGTGTTAAAATGTTTCTGGATGTCACTATAGATGATCTATATCAGTACGTTGAGACGGGTTCATTCTATTGGAAGCATGGCACAGTTTAGCAGTGAGAAGTTAGTTTGCACGAGTTGAGTTTAAGTTCTGATTTTTGCTAGAATTGAGCTTGAGTCCATAATCTTGGAATCGTTGTTCTAGTTCACATAAAATGTGGTGTTAATCATATATAGATACATGACAAACAACATTACCCTACACACATATAGACCTGCTATGTAAGGCCTCTAAAACAACACATTTGCTGAGGCACTGTGCTTAGAGAAGAGCTAAGAGAGTAGAAAAATGTTTATAAAATTGATATTTCTACACACTGGCATCAGTATTCTAATGCGACGATGTCATTTCATCATGATTACCTCTGTCACTGTCGTGCAGGTACGGACTGCAGTAGTATCGCTGCAGTGTGGCAGACTGGTGTGCTGCCTCGCTGTCCTGAGCTGTCCAACGTCGTGTTGTGTCTGCTAGCTCTCTACCTTCTCCTGACCAACATACTGCTGTTCAACCTTCTCATTGCAATGTTCAGGTATGCGATGCTGTATTGCGGCGCTTCGTAATGCCTTGATCACGTGAAATACTAGGAACGATATTATGGAAGTATCATGGAACCAAGTACATTGTACATAGTACCAAGAAATAGAATAGATATTTATTTATTTATTCATTTATTTATTTATCTATCTATGTGGATAGATAGATAGATAGATAGATCGATCAACATATATAGATATAGCTAGATAGATATATTCGTGATGTGACATTTATCAAATCTAATTGCGATTCTACCTTAGGCACTATAACTCCCTTATTTTTACAGTTACACGTTTGAGAAAGCCCGAAACAAGACGGATAGCATATGGAAGTTTCATCGCTACTGGCTCGTCATGGAGTACTTTGAGAGACCTCCGCTCGTGCCGCCGTTAATATGCCTCGCCCATGTCTTCCTTGGCGCGCGTGCCGTGCTCCATGGCAACCGGCACCACTTGTCGACACCCTTCAGTGAGTTTCGGCCATGCATGACAAGAGAGCAGTCGGAGTCTGCACTTCTATTGCCATCTCGCTTCTTGCTGTACATGTACTTGTGTGTACAAACCTTTTGCTGTCACCTGTGGTGTGATAAAATAGTATCGATGTGGTTCACAAAATACTCTGGAAGTGAATTATCAGTAGACGGTACTGAGGATGTACTAATTCCCTTGCGCATGCATACTTCGTGTAACCCTTATTCGTATTGAGTGTCGGATTGCAACACGACGTGAAACCACGAATGCTCTCATGTTTTCCATGCCCGCACAGAGAAGCACTTGAGCGACGAGGACAGGAAGTCGGAGGAGCGGTTTGAGATGATAATGGCCGACGTTCATTATCGCAGCGTCATCGCCGACCTCAACGGTTGTGATGGCCGCCGCTTCAGAGACCTACAGGACAGGTGAGTAGCGAATACGCAGCCAGCCACAGTGGCCGCTCTACAGGTTAAGCTGTTCATTCACCAGTTGTCTGTAACATTGGTTAGGCAGTGGCATCGGCTTTTCATTTGGTAGTTATGTACCTTGTTGCTACCCTCTGCACACCACCTCTGTGCTTTAGCGATGTGTGCCCAGTGTGAATTAAACTCTGAACCAGAGGTATGCTTGTAGGTTGAAGTTTTGCTTTTATTTCCAACAGGGGGCAATGCTGTTGTATATTTGTTCTGAGCACACATGCGACAAGTTAATGAAACTGGTTCGTAATTATGGTGATAATCTTTCATTGTTACAGTATCTCGCTGCTCTCAAACAAAGTTATGAAAAGTCAGGAAGTGAACGATCTACAGGAGAAGGTTGACAGCCTTACGTCTGCTGTGAGCATCCTACAGACACAGGTAGCCACTTGTATTTTGACAGTTATTATCCTTCCCAAATAACATGCTTACATTGGGCCAACGTTGGCATGGTCACGGTTGGCATGCGGTTGGCAATATGATGTTAGGCCAACGTTGGCGTATGGTTGGCATGGTCATGGTTGGCAAGTGGTTGGCTGCATGACGTTAGGCCAACGTTGGCATATGGTTGGCATGATGCTACTTGCAAATGGTTGGCTGCATGATGTTGGGGGCACGCTGAGCAAAGATCCGTTGGCCCAACGTTGGCATGTTATCTGGGTTAGCTAGCCCTAATATGTCAATAAATTCCTGCTCGTACTTATGTAAACCTTTTCTAGGTTTCTCCTCGCACATAGTAACTATGTACATAGATGTACAACATGCCAAGTCTATGCTAAGCCATGACAATGTTATGCTTGAGTACCAACTGCTAAATATCTCTCTCATAGCATCACTTTGATTGCAGTGCCTGGTGTCTTCTCATGTAGCACATTTTACAAATCATCAACTTTACAAATGCTCAGAGTTATGCATGTCCTCGGTGACTGAAATTCCTAATTGTCGTCTGAATCTCTTTTTAGCTTGAGAAAACCAATGTCGCGATGGCATGGGTTGTTGGTGTATTGGCTGAAAAGAATAGTAAGCCTCTCCCAAGCAGTTTTATAGAAGAGACCATTGAAGGCAGCCCTCGTCATCAGATGCAGAAGAATGGTATAAAAATGCTTGACAAATGTAAAATGTCCTGAAATTAATGTGTGATCAACGTATTGTAACTACATAATACTTATATATATATGTATATATGGATATAAATATGATATATTCAGTCTTGAATTGAAATTGGAATCTGAAATAAATGCATGATAATGATAGTGGCACCATATGTGCTTGCTGGGTCTTGGACTATAGCTTTCTGTTGATAACCAACTCTCTCTGCAATGCAACATTTGAATCGTGCAGATGGTATTATAGTTTAGTAAAGTTAACGTTACTGAATCATCTTATTCCTGTTTTAACTGATACGTCATGTATTTGTGTAGAGAAATCCCGCTATGAACCTTCGACTCTGGCGAGGAAAATGTCGTTAGAGATGGACAAGCAGGAGCAGCAGAAGCTCCACGTGAATTGCCGCAGTTCTCCGTACCCAGGCTCTGCAGAGCTGAGAGTCTCTGTACCAGACGACAAAGTTCCATGGGAGGTAAGCCATATCTAATGTAGATCGCAAATGATATTCTGCAGGGATGTAAGTCTCTGCATATAGTCAGCTATTCTTCCTATGGTATTATAATAGATATTCTGCAGGGATGAAAGTCTCTGCATATAGTCAGCTACTCTTCCTATGGTATTATAATAGATATTCTGCAGGGATGTAAGTCTCTGCATATAGTCAGCTATTCTTCCTATGGTATTATAATAGATATTCTGCAGGGATGAAAGTCTCTGCATATAGTCAGCTACTCTTCCTATGGTATTATAATAGATATTCTGCAGGGATGAAAGTCTCTGCATATAGTCAGCTACTCTTCCTATGGTATTATAATAGATATTCTGCAGGGNATTGTGTTTGATGAAGAGAGATATTATCAAAAACTTGCTGATTAAAATTTAACACCTTATTCTATTTTTCAAAATTTATATATATATATATATTATATGAAATGAATAGCACACAGACAATATATATATATAGTTTATCACATAAAACTCATATGGACCATCTAATCATTATTCATTACCATGGATATGGATTCTAAATAGAAATGTATACGACAACTTAGAGAAAAAAAGTTTTTGTTGTTTGCCTGTAAGTAATGACCTACAGCTGGTTGTTCCTTTTAAAGGCAATGATGGACTTACCTCAACTTCAACCGTTACTGTTGTCTGTGCCGACTCTTCTAATGGCAGTGTTCCCTCTATCCACCGTTCCTTTATCGCCGGCTCATCGAACTTAATCCAGTAATATATCAGCGATGGACAGATGCTGCTGATCAATAACTAGAAGAAAGAACATATTCACAAAGATTTACAACACTTTCTCTATTTCTCCAGCATCTCTACGTCTCTGGCAAGTTGTTTTAAAGTGACCTTTGAAGACACTTATTTGCTACATTTTTATATAGTTTATAATCCCCTTTAACTTCGACTCTCTGTTTTTTTCTGCTTCTCTCTTGCTGTCCTACTCGTAATAATGATAATAATAATCACGTAATTCATACAGTATTATTTTTAACATTATCTTATTACATGTCTATGCTACTGAAGACGAAACCACTACAACAAACATGCCCGTGCTACTGAAGACGAAACCACTACAACAA